CACCCCCTGGGGGCAGGCGGGAAGCACTGGCCGGAGCGGGTGGCACGGGCAGTAGGTGGATCGGCTTCAAGAAACGGAAGCAAGTGTTGGACCGTGTCTTCTCCTCCTCCCAGCCCAACCTGTGCTGCTCCTCCCCAGAGCCTCTGGAGCATTTGCTCCCCGCGGGAAAGGGGCCCGCGGCCGGGACCGGAGCAGGCGGAGCGACGCCTCCTGGCGGACGCTCCCCAGACTCGGCTCCCTCTTCGTCCTCCGCATCTTCTTCCTTGTCCTCCTCGCCTCAGCCACCCCCGAGGGGGAACCGTGCCCAAGATGAGGGTGCACAGCGTCGGGGCGCCGCGGCGCACTTGTGCCATCAGAAGAGTTCCTCCCTGCCAGGCACTGCCAGCCTGGAGCAACTGCTGGAGCCACCTCCACCCCCGGCGGGGGCAGAGCGGGCACAGAGCTCCAGGGAGCCTTGGACCCTGGAGAAGGGCGGGGAGTGCGGCGGCAGCCAGGTGAGTGCTGGGTGCCCGGGGCCACGCCTCCAGCTTTGGGGGGACCGAGACCCCGAGACTTGCAGGGCGGTGTGGGTGCTCCCAGGCAAATCAAACCGTGGAAAGAAAACGTCCCGCACCTGCTCAGTGAAGATAAGTCTTGCACCCCGACTTTACTTTGGGCAGAAATAGCTTTATGAGGTGACAGTGAAAGTGGAAGCATTACTGGTCGCCAAACAGGGGAGAAATGAAGTTAGACATAATTCAGGGTACTTTTTGGAGGTCTTCTAGAAGGACTCTCCACCATGTCTCACTTTGTCAAAAGAAAAACAAACCCCAAAACGTGAAAAGGATGACAACCATGGCTGATGGTGGTGTGGAGGGGCCAGCACTGGACACACATGGTTTGCAGGAAGGAATAGAAATGCGAACAGGTGACTTAACGGTAAACGCGAGGTAATGGCGTGGGGAAAGCCTTAGAGCAGAGGTTTGCTGACTTACCCACACTCCCTTCCTGAAACTTCCCGCGGCAAGTGGGTCGCTGCCCAACAAGTGAGCAGCCTGCGCGCGTCTCAGCCGAGTTAGTGAAATGTGTTTCTGTGGCCTTTTCTTAGATGGAATAGTCATCGAAGCGGCTGCGTTGTGAGCGCGCTGCTTCCTGCGTCATGTTGACTCGGATCACGCAGGTGTATTCGGACAAGAATCCAGTAAACTTGCATGCAGGGCCCCAAGGCGCTCCACGGAGCGGCTGCGTGCACTCCCTCTGTCTTCTAGAGCAGTGGTTCGCAACCTTGGCTGCACATTAGAATCACCTGGGAATCTTTTTAAAATCCTGATTTCTGGGCC